ATCATGGGCCGCGGTTGAGCAGGTAATGCAATAATAATGCGTGAACTGAGGGCCACAGGTCGCCGCCCCGGTCGCCGCGGCCCTTGGTTCATGCATTATTATTGCTCCCAAATCAAGGCCGCGGACAAGCCTGAAAGGCGTTTTAGACTTGCGGGTCTCCCGCTCCCAGTGTCTGACTGTAGATTGCAAATGTTGTGCAACTACACAAAGGTCTGCTGGAGTGGGGACGGCTTAAAGCTCAAACCATGTTTTTAGGATTGCACAGGTTTTTGCTGCCTATAGTGACCGCTCTTAATGCTTACAATTCAGTTTCAAGTCGGGGATGCGGTCACAAGCGCTAGCATCGAATGGAATGCGTAATGGAAACTTTCCGGTAATGTATCTGCACTTTGACTTATTTTCACCAAGTTTAAATACAATTTTCATGCCGCAATGGGCGGAAAGTACGTGGAGCAGGTGTGGGAGATGCTGAAGAAGGGGATGCAGAAAATACAACAGCAGCAGCAGCAACAACAACAACAACAGCAACGACAGCAGCAGCAGCAACAACAACAACAACGACAGCAGCAGCAACAACAACAACAACAAAGAAAGCACAAAAATAACTCCGGTCTTAACATCGAGGAGGTAATGATCTTTGAAGAGTCTGCTCTTTGCACATTGTGTACGCGCTCCATTCATGATAGCAATTTGCAAACCAATGTTCGTCGTGAGGCTTTGAGTTCAAATCCAATTGTATATGTGTTAATCTTGATGTCTACCCCTTGTAGGTGCTCCACACGTTTGAACAACAATTGTATATGGGACTGAAGCAAATCGTCGAGCGTCATCTCAGTTACAATGTAAGTGGCGCTAGTTAGTGACGTTATCATTGGGTTGGCGAATATTTTCTATTACACTTTTCTCTTTGATTCTAGAAAAACCGAACCATCTTAAGTCTCCGAATTTGCTCCAAATGTAGGGCACGCAGAGGATGCACATCACTATCGATGCCGCAAATGCGCGAACAGTCAGCAAGTTTCCGACGGTTCTGTAAGCATCCATGCCTCGGGCAGAGTTTACGCGATTTATCGTCGCTATTCATCGTAAAAACACAAATCCAACAAAATCATTGCATGCCGATTTTCTGGCATTTCGGTTGTGATAGTTTTACAACACGACTAATCGTGACTTAACTATCATAACCGAGATATAGGCCGCTGCATGACGAAGGCGCTTTATCTTTGG